GGAGGAGGTGGAGGGGGCCGGCGGGGAGGTGCGGGAGGAGCGAGTTGAGGAGGCGGGAGGAGACGGCGGCGTGGGTGGAGGAGAGGTTGGAGGTGAGGACGAGCGATAGGGATTGCAGGAGGAGGCGGCGCGGGGAGGCCTGGCCGGCCGCGATCCGGAGCTGCCGGAGCAGGCCGGCGCTGATTGGCACCGCCGGCGGCGGGCGGCGGCGGGGCCCTGGCGAGCACGGCATTGGGGGCGGGCGGTGGCGCAAATGGGGCTCCGCCCGTCTCGTTACCTTTGGCGGGCAGTTGACGCTGAGGAGGCGTATTCTTCTCTCTTACGGGAACGGGAGGCGAAGGCGGGTTTTCTTACTGAGGAATACGTAAACATAGCAGACAAAATGTATACTTTCGAGGGAGAAGGCCAGCCACATCGAATTCATGTCAGAATTTGAACAGCCTCACGTTGAATTCAAGCAAAAGTGATAATCATCGAATTCATGTCAGGACTTTACGGCCCATTCAGTTTGCAGGATTCTAAAAATGCAGAAACAGGGAACGCATCTACAAAAACATGGTAAGCATATAAATTCTGTCAACTTGGATGCTTTGGTTCACGGTAATTGAAGTAATAAATATGATCAAATCAAAGTTAAAAACACATAAAAAAGATTATAGTTAGAATGTTATTATGCCGTTAAGGATATTAGTCTTTGTTCATCGTGCATATATTTTTTTCAAGAAAAATGTCCAAGTGGATGTTAGAATTCCCGGGACTTTTCCTTTAAAAATGGGATCAAATGAAAACACCTTCAATTTTCCTTTGCCCCGTTCCTTTGAACCGAAGACGAAAACTCCTCCGAATTTTGCCCCATTCCTCTGAACCAAAGGCATAAATAGTACCAACATAGGAAAATTTCATCATTCCAACCAAAGGAGCCCTTGACAGTCTCACGTCGATTCATGCGTTCCAAGCAAGATGTATTGCAAATACTCCCTCCCTTTCAAATATAAGACCTATTAGAGATTGCAATATGGACTACATATAGATGTATATCGATGCATTTTTAAGTGTAGATTCACTCATTTGCATTTTAGAGTGTAGATTAACTCATTTTGCTTTGTACGTAGTCTGTATTGAAATCTCTACAAAGCCTTATATTTAGAAGTGAAGGCAGTAGTAAGTTAGTAACTTGACAAGAACTTGCTGTCTGTGCAGCTGAAACTGATGGTGAGTAGCAACCATCCAGCGCATACACCAGTTGTATGCAAATGCATCTTAAACCCTTTGGGAACACGTCCACGATCACTCCTGCTTGGTAGCAACATACAGATTCATAACAGATTCAACGAGCTCTTGGAAAGTGCGGGTACGTTTTTTACATCTTACAGCTGCTGGCTCCTGGAATCTCTCCATGGCGGCGTCAAGAAACTAACAGTGAAGCGGAGTTCCTCAGATTCTTCTACTTCTCAAGGAATTAAATTCGGACATACAACACTCGAGCCCTCAAAAATTTGCTTCAGACATAAATTAGCTTGTAAAAAACCATCATCTGTGTCAAGCGCCAAAAAAACAGGGGCACTGAAGGCTACACGATGATCCCCATCGCTCACTCATGCTGCTCGTATATCTGCATGTAGGCTTCAGAGAGAGCGACCATCTGCGGAAGGGTCTCGGTGACATGGAGATCCTGCATCTCGTACCTGCAGGTATAGGGTTGTTAAATGATTTACCAGGCCACAGCCTGACACTCAGGGATATACACGCAAGGAATGAGACAACGAACACGTACCACGCCTCTTCTGATTTCCGCTGTACAAACACTCTGTAGCATCCTTCGCCCGGTTTGCTGTCGTGGACGATGTTGGCTATGAGATCGTACTTTGAGCGCAGCTTCTCACTCTCTTTTGGCTTGGGCAATGGGATGTAGTCCTTCAGTTCCAAGTTCTTCACGGGAAAGTTCACTGTCACACAGAACATGGAAACCTCTTAGCATAGGTGCGGGCTCTGAATAGTCATATTCGCCATCAAGCTAACATGAGAGTTACCTAGAGTGGGGTTTTTCTCCACAAAGAAGTTGTTTTTGGTGAACCGTCGCATGTGAAGGATCATATACTTTGGAAGTCTGATGACTCGGTACCTCATCCGGGCAATAGATGGCCGTACCACCTCTGTAACTGTCTCACCATCGAAC